CAGGATATACTGTAAAGTGAATTTGTATATTTTGTGGGTTAAACGTGGCAGCCAATTCCACAGCAGTGTGTCACAAACAGTCTTGCATTGTAAAGTAAAATGTAAAATACTGCAGATGCTGGAAATCTGAAACAAAAGCAGAAGTCTCTGGGAGCACTCAGCAGGTCAGGCAGCATCTCTGGAGAAAGGAAAGTGAATCAACATTTCGGGTCCACAACTCTTCGTCAGAACGTGAGAGAGAATTGTGAAGTGTAGTTCCTGTATTTTGTGGGCGAAATGCGGCAGCCAATTGAAAAATCTCTCCCTCCAATAAGGTGCGCGTATCTACTTTGCCACCGAGCGCCTCATCTCAGACTGGTGGGCCCTGCGTGTGGCTACCAGACTGCAGCAGTGGCTGCCAGATTGGGAGGTTAGACTGGAAAAGTGACTGCAAGGTGCGATGGCAGCACAAGCCCAGGAGATGACAGAAGCATAACATCACCCTCCAGTGACAGAAAGACATTACTGCAGCCCTGACATACCAAAGTAATTCCTCACCCTCTAGAACCATTCAAGTCTACAGCACAGAAGAAGGCCATTAATAATAATCATAATCCTTGCATTTCAGATCCACCTCAAGACCATACTCTTTGACCAAGCTTTCGGCTATCGTTCTCCCCTCCCCAACCCTCCCCCTACCTCTGGTGGAAACACTGAACTGTCCAACATTTTACCCCCACTCCCTGATGTGAAAGACGCTGTATTGATGTAAATTGTCTGTGTGTGTGTGGGGGGGGGGGGGGGGGGGCTGGTGGATGGGGGTCAGGTAATGGGACTTAATTCACAAAATATTTAATTTTATAAAATTTCATTTCACAAAATACAGTCAATCCACTTTACAGTAGTGCTCTGAGATGCCACCCTGGATATAAGTGATGCAAGTTATTGTCAAATGCAAAGATTATTATTATTATAACTGTGAATCTTGTGTATTTTTTTCCTATCGTTCTCCCAGAGTCCCTCCAACTTGCTCCCACCCTTAGAATCTACTTTAATAGCCCCCCCCCACCTGGTTGACTTTTCCTTGTCAACTATCTGAAGTTCTTTGTAGCTGTTGTTTTCAAATCATAGAATTATACAGCACAGAAGGAGGCCATTCGGCCCATCGTGTCTGTGCCGGCTCTTTGAAAAGAGTTATTCAATTCCGCTCTCCCCATAGCCCCCAAACTCATCCTCCCCAAATAATTATCACTAAATGTTATTGAATCGGCTTCCACCATCCTTTCGGTGAATGCATTCCAGATCCGAACAACTTGTTGTGTGAAACAAATTCTCCTCACCTCCCCTCTGTTTCTTTTAACAACTATTTTAAATCGGTGTCCTCGGGTTACCGACCCACTCACCAGTGGAAATGGTTTCTCCTTGTTCATCCTATCGAATCCCCTCATAATTTTTAAAACTTCCATTAAGTCTCCTCCTAACCTCCCCTGCTTATATTCCTAGGAGAATAATCCTCGCTTCTCTAGCCTCTCCTGATAACTGAAGGCCCTCACTCCTGCTAACATGTGTTAGATTGATGATAATTGTATTTTGAAATACTTCATTGTATTCAGTACAAGGGTGTAACTATTTAGACGTCCAGAAGATGGGTGTGAGTGAGCGCTATCATCTTCATGGCAGATAATAAATGTGTCTCGATGTTCGATACTTCCGCAACATGATTGACACCAGTAACTTCCTTCTCACTGACTCCGTCTTACACTGCACTCATTGTAGGACAACAAATGGGGGAGTGGCGGGGTTTAGTAGGGCTTTGTGTACTCCCTGTAGATACCCATCTAATCTCTAGCACCTCTCTCTCTCATCGCCTAGAAACCTGGAGATTTTTCATTTTCCATGGATTTATCTAGTTACTTGTTGTCAACGGTTTATAGTTCTTTGTTCCACTTGTCAGCTTAGCAGTATAGTGCTTACCTTGGGCTCAGATATTATTGTTTTTGGTTTTGGAGGGATTATTATTAGGCTCTGTGTGGAGTAAGAAAACTTGCCCAAGGTTTCGCCCTCTGCCTGGAATGGAACTCAGGTCTCTCACTTGCAAAGCGAGTGCTCTAACCACTGAGCTGCAGGACTCCACCATAATAAATTGGTCATTTTCAATCTACGACTGTTTGTGGGACATTGCTGTGCGCCGCGTTCGCCCACAAATATACAGTCAATTCACTTTACAGTGTGTTCTGTGAAGCGCTTTGGGACGTCCGCCCAACGTGAAAAGCGCTATATCAAATGCAAGGATTATTATTAACATAAAGTCCCGGTTGAGTGTTGAAGATTCCGACACAATTGGAAAAGAGAAGGGAGTTTTCCCAGTGTTTTGGTTCTAACCACTACACTGTAAAATAATCCCGATCCAAACCGTATCCAACAAAACCAGAAACGCTCTGAGCCATTACCCTGTATTAAGGGCACTTTATAAATAATAATAATAATCCTGATCACGTCGTTGAGACATCTCAAAGCGCTTTATGGAATATACTGTAAAGTAGCTGTATTTTGTGGAACGAAACTTGGCAGCCAATTGTACTCACAAATGTAGATTGAGTGACCGCATTTTTATTTATTTATGATTTTTTTGGAGGAATTATTACCATCAGCAAGTGATCCGCTAATCGCCTAACAGCCAGGTTCCTACCTACTGCTGGGTAAACAGTGGTGTGTGGAGTAAGGAAACTTGCCAAAGGTTTATCCCTGCTCCGGAATTGAACCCGGTTCCTCTCGCTTGCGAGGCGAGTGCTCTAACCACCACGCTATGGAACTCCCCCTTAGAGTGGTGGTTAGCAAGTGGTAAGTCGCTGTTGTTGTTGGGCACTCGTGTGACATCATAAAAATAAGCAAAAACGCCTTTTTGAAAAGGTGTATGTTCTGTTGCCAAGGTTGCTGTTGCTACATGACTCGATGTTATCACCAATTACGATTATTACCTCCGTGGATGTCACAGAAGCAATTGGGTGATGCTCACCTTCGGCCATTTGGTCTGTCAAGTCTTGAATAGGCTGCAACCAATTTAGATCAGTGTTAAACCCGTGTGCTGTAAGGTTTGTAGATTTGGTTTCCCAGTTAACAGTAATAATAATTATATACCACTGGCTGTACCCATTGCAGAGATGTCTCAAAGCCCTTCACAGAAGATACTGTAATGTGAATTGAATGTATACTCCGTGGTGATACCAGATTAAGATTTGTTAAAATGAAAGGTTATCCAGATTCAAGATTTCAGAATTTTCCACAAATTTTGTGCAGCCTTAAATGTTGAGACAAGATGACCTCCTGGATTGAGACTGGCTGGAATCTCGAATGTTGTTGTTGTTTTTTTTTTGGCCACTCCTTAGCCTCCTTCAAGTCCCGCCTCAAAACCCTCCTCTTCGACCATGCCATCGGTCACCACCCTTCCCTTCTCCCTCCCTGACCCCAGCTCGGGGCTGAAATGCTGTCACTGTCCAGCGCCTTGGGACGTCCTCCCGACGTGAAAGGCCCTATACAAATGTAATGTTGTTGTTGTTGTGGGCATGGCCCGGGTCTGGATGGCTTGTGTGGCGTTTCACTTTAGGCTTTGCCTTTACACTCACAGAGCCAAAGAGAGAGGGAGAGTGTGCGTGATGGCAATAGGAATTTCCCTGCATCGCCTGATTTCTGCTTCACGGTGAGAGGTCCGGGTGAATAAGGCCCTTTGGACCCTCCTCTTCGACCATACTTCACTCCTACACTCATCCTCTCTGTCCTCCGCCCCTCCTGATCCCAACCCCCAGCTCAGGTACAAATCCATGACAGTCTTTCTTGCCTTGGGACGTCCTCCCGAGTGAAAGGCGCAATACAAATGTAATTTGTTGTTATTTGATCTCATCTTTCCAGAATACCCTCCCTACAGTCCTTCCATCACAGCGTCAAGCTGTTCCTTAAATTAGTCCCATCGTCCTGGCTTTGACCACACTTCCAGTCTAGTCTAGCTTGCCTCTCCTGGATCAGATCAGGTCATGCTGAAGCCACTGATTGTGAGTCATGCACCTCCATATTGTTTTACTGGGGTTTGTGGGGGAGAAAAGACAGGTAAGCGGGACTGTATGTATCGTTCTGAGATCCAGCACATACACAATGGGCTGAATGGCCTCCTTCTGTGCTGTAAATTTTTATAGTATCTTCTGTCTTGAGGGATCTAATGCCCCCCTTGTTTATCTCTCCCCCTCCCCCCCCCACCACCATTGGTGATTTTCCATCATAAATACTAATAATTCTTACATTTGGTATAGCGCCTTATCTTGTTGAAAGGGCGTCTCAAAGTGCTTCACTGTAAAACAGAGTGACTGTTTTTGTTGGCAAACGCAAGCAGCATAATTGCACACATCAATGTTCCACAAACATCCGTGAACCAAGTGTCCAATTTTATTTGGGGGATTGTTGGCCAGGACACCGGGAGAGAGAAACTCCTGTTTGTTTTTGAATAACACCATGGGATCTTTGACATCCACCCGAACAGCAGTAAAGAAACTTGCCCAAGTTTTTGCCCTGCCCGGCAATCAAAACCAGGTCCTCTTGTTTACGAGGTGAGCGCCCACTACACTACGGGATTCTACATGGGATTTCTCCCACTTGAAAAGAGAAGGGAATTTCTCCCAGTTTCGTGGCCAATAAACATAGATAACTGACGGAAGTATAATTACTTCTGCTCAGAGGTCTCTGTGGGGAGTGGTTGTCTGGGTTTACTTTCAATGCACTTGGAACCTTGTGCTACTAACAGCTTTGATTGTTGTTTATAGTGGCCGAAAACTGATTAAGAAAAAGCAGTTAATCATCTCCTGGCATTTATTATACGCTCACATGACAACATTCTATGTTATATTCAGGTTTATTATTATTTATTTCCAAATCATTTTATTTGGACTGTAAACGAGTCAGGTTTTACTTCCCTGCCATTTCCGCTTCCGCCTGTTAATGTGTTCATTCTGACGTCTTCCCCCCACTTTTGTTAGAGCAGCAAAGGAGAAACCCAAACCACAGGGCCTAGCTGGGAAAAGCACACAGCCGGCACCCATCCAGCATTCCTTCCTGACTGACGTGTCTGATGTAAAGGAGATGGAGAAAGGACTGCTCAGCCTCCTGACTGACTTCCATTCGGGAAAGCTTCAAGCGTTTGGTAAGCTCTCTGTTGGCATTAGACTCTCTCTTGCCGCCTCCCCAGCTTCACTATCCACAAATTCAACCACTGTAATTCAAAACTCTGCCGCCGGGATACTCAACCGCACTAAACTCTGTATCCCCATCACCCCAGGCTTTGCCAGGCTCTCTAGCTCCCTATCACACACACTAAACTCTGAACCCCCATCACACCAGTCCTGCCAGGCTCCACTGGCTCCCTAACGCAGAAAGGATAGATTTCAAAATCCTCACACTCACATAAAATTCACTTCATGCCCTGGCACCTCCCTACCTCTCTGACCTGCTTACTCCCTACTTCATTTTCCGTTGCCTCCGCTTAACTGTCTCCTGCTTGTCCTTCGTCCTCTCGGTCCACCATCGGCGACTGGGCTTTCAGCCACTAGTCCCCCAAACTATGGAACTCTGCCTCAATCCCTCCACCTTGCCGCCTTCAAATCTTTCAATTCAGACCTGAAGACCTTCTTCTTTGATGAGCCTACAGTCACTTCCCCTCTCTGCAAGGCTCGGGGTCAGGCTCCACAACTGTTAAGCGCCCAGAAACACTATCCTGGGGCTAGAATAGGGCGCAATATAAATGCAAGTACTTGTTTGTTTGTTCATAGTTTGCTGTTATTCATAGCATCACAAGTAAATGGTCTTTCTGCCATTCATTAATTCCAGTAATTCCAAGAGGCAATTAGGGAGCATTTTATTGCTTGCGAACCTTTTAGCCTTTCTTCAGGACAGCTTATGGGGTGAGCTTCCCCCAGATTTCAGCAAGGTTTATTATATTATTATGTTGTTATAGATTAAATCATTCCCTAGAGATAATTTCTAAGTGGTTTTCAGTGATGGTCAGCGAGACTAATAACACTGCCACGTTACGTATGAACGGATGTTACTCTTCTTAATATACAACAACAACACCAAAATTACATTTATCGAGCGCCTTTCATGTTGGGAGGACGCCCCAAGGCACTGTACAGTAAGGGGTCAGGGCCCGAGCATGGGGGAGGGGTGGGGGGATAGGGGTGAGGGAAGGCAGAGAGGTGGGAGGGCAACTGAAGGCACGATCAAAGAGGAGAGTCTTGAGACCAGTCTTGAAGGAGGCAAGGGAGGAAGTGAGGTGAAGGGACTGGGATGGAGTTCAAGAATGTGGGGGCAAAGAGCCTGAAAGTCCGGCCACCGACGGTAGGTCGGGCGGGAGAAGTGGAGCAGACTGGAGCCCGCTGAAAGGAGGGAGAGGGCAGGTTGGTAGGGAGACAGCAGGTCAGAGAGGTAGGAGGGGGCAAAGCCATGGATGGCCTTGAAAGTGAGGACGAGGATCTTGAATTCGATCCTCTGGGGGATGGGGAGCCAGTGGAGTCGGGCGAGGGTGGGAGTGATGGGGTCGGGCGAGGGTGGGAGTGATGGGGTCGGGCGAGGGTGGGAGGGATGGGGTCGGGCGAGGGTGGGAGTGATGGGGTCACGGAACCTGGTGCGTGAGAGTACATGAGTTGCAGAGTTTTGGATGATCTGCAGCTTGTGAAGGGAAGGGTTGGGAATGTCGATGAGGAAGGAGTTCCCGTAATCGAGCCTTGATGTGAGGAATGCGTGGGTGAGGGTTTGGGCAGCCTGAGGGGTGAGGCAGTGGCAGAGTCTGGCAATGTTGCGGAGGTGGTGGCAGTGCCGGTCATGGCGCGAATGTGGGGGAGAAAGGACACTTCAGGGTCAAACAAGACCCCCAGGTTCCTGACTGTCTCAGTGAGGTGGAGAGTGCAGCCGTGGAGGCTGATGCTGCCGGCGCCTGAGGTGCGGAGGCGCTGGCGTGAGCCAATCAGGAGGGCCTCGGTCTTGCTGCCGTTGAGAAAGTTGTCCCTCGTCCAGGTCTTGATGTCGGACAGGCAGTCGATTAGGACGCCAGTTGTCCTGGAGTTGAGGGTGGAGGTAGAGAGATAGAGTTGGGTGTCATCCACATACATGCGGAAATTTACCGCATGTCTGCGGATGATGTCAACAAGGGGGAACATGTAAAGGGTGAAGAGGAGGGGACCGAGGACAGAGCCCTGAGGAACACCGCACGAAATGGTGGAGAAACCATTTGCTAATATATTTGAGCTTCCTAAAATAGTTACTATGTGCAGGAGGTTGATATTTTGTTCACCAGGTATTTTGTCAAGCCATTTCTTAATAGTCTTATTAACAGTCCCACTTACACCTATTAGCTTTAGGAGTTATGTTTGTTGTTATTATTATTATATTACAGTTAATTTGATCTGTGCCTTTTTTTAATGAAGGTCCTCAGACATTATTTTTCGGCTCCCTAAAGTGACTAACTCAAATCTTTGTTTTTAAAATCATCTTAAAGTGCTGTAGCATATTGATTTGAGCACTCACCTCGCAAGCGAGAGCATCCGGGTTCGATTCCCTGGCAGGCCGAAACCTTGGGCAAGTTTCCTTACTCCACGTGGCTCTGTTTACCTAGCACTAAGTAGGAACCTGGTTGTCAATTAATTGGTGGATTGCTTTCCAGGGTAATAAATCCTCCAAAAAAATCACTCAATCCACGACTGTTTGCGGGATGCTGCTGTGCGCAATTGGCTGCTGCATTTCGCCCACAAAATATTCAGTGAATTCACTTTACAGTATATTCTGTGAAGCGCTTTGAGGAGACATCTCAATGATCTGATAAGGCGCTATATCAAATGCAAGGATTACTATCATCATTTCGAGAGGTTTAGGTGAGGTGATGCGCTATAAAGAATACAAGTCCTCTGTTCCTTTCAGGTAACGAGTGCTCTATAGAGCAGATGGAACACGTGCGTGAGATGCAGGAGAAACTAGCTCGTCTCCACTTTGACCTTTACAGTGAGTTTGATCAGTTACCAGAGGATCAGAGAAAGATAACTAGCAACAGCAATCTGGATAAGCTGTTGACAAACGTAAGTTTCCTCCACAATGACATTTCCCACTGTTGCTCTCACCCTCGTCCCCTCCCCGGTCACTTCAGATTGGCTTCTTTTTGGTTAGCCGTGTGTCTGATAACGGAAATCCATCACCATGCTTAAGAATATCCAAACCAGACTGAGAATCTACATATCTATGCCAAATACACATGGAAATTTCCTCATGTCTGGAATGGAATGAGCACTCTCTCTCTGGACGAACACACCTTATCTAATTCTGGAAAGTATTAGGTGCAGGTTGGTGAGAGTCAAGGCTTGGGATATCCCTGAGTGTACTTTGGGGTAACTCCTGGAGTCTAACCAGCTAAAACCACATATTGATATCGCTGTCTGGCAAGCTTTCCCGCTACTTGTCCAGCTAGGACCACTCTATCCGTTAAGGCTTTGGGTGGCAGGGTTAACAGGAACTGAGAGGGTGGATGCCCTGCTCCTGGAGATGGTATCCAGATCCTGTCGATGAGCCAGGTGGCTGGGCTGTCAGTAGCAGTGCAGACCCGCCTGGTTCAGGAACTGCACTGACAAGAACATGACCTTGGAGCCAGCTCAGCTCCAAGGAGACTCTGCTAAACCTGCCCTCCTTCAATGAAATGCCATGTGTCAGACTAGCTCGTGCTCTCGCTTGCTGAGTCAGAAGGTTGTAGGCTCAAGCTCTATTTCGGAGTCTGGGCTGATGATCTAGTGCAGTTCTGGGGGGGACCTCTGCACTGTCAGAGGCACCAACCTAAGGTCCTATTGACCTGTTCTGCCTATTCTTAAGTGGATGTGAAAGATCGCCTGACACCATTGGAAAAGAGAAGGGAGCTACTCCCAATGTCCTGGCTGACAATTCTCCATATTAGCCGGCTGTCAAATGTAAGGATTCTATTGTTAATTTGCATCTGAAGTGAAGGGGTCTGACTATTTCACACCCACAAGAGTCAGCGAGCATCTTATATACAGTACCTCTATACCATCCTCTGCTGAGACGTGCCTTTGGGAAGCTGAATGGCTTGATTATCCAGTTGCTCCTCACTGGAGATCAGCCTGGTGGCCTTCCCAGCCTCTCATCACTGCTCACTGCTTTTCCCTCCACCACAGGGATCAACCAACTAACTCTCCTCAACCTCTCCTCACTGCTCATCCCTTACATTATATCAGCCTGACTCAGTGGTACATTCTGAGTCAGCCTGATCAGATAGCCCTATTAAAGAAGAGAAGAGAGTTTCTCTCTCACTGGGTCCTGGCCAAAAATTCCCCAAATAAAATTGGTCACTCACTCCATGGCTGTTTGTTTACTGCTGTGTGCAATTGGCTGCCACGTTTCACTCATGTCGTCAACGTCAATCCACTTTACAGTATATTCTGTAAAGCTCTTCGAGATTCTTGACGATGTGATAAGGCACAGTATCAAATGCAAGGATTATTATTAATCCACCAGCAACCGGCTCCTCCGTCCATCCTCCCACGCCTTGCCCATTCTCTCCTCAAGCTCTGACTGTGAGGAGATACTGGATTTCCTCGAGGCAAAAATCGACGGGGTCTGTTCAGCTGCCTTCGTTCTCCAAACCTCCACTCCCTCCCCATCTCTCCCTCACACTCCAACCCCTACCCATCCATCCCTCCCTCCACATTTTCAAACGTCTCTCATCACTACCATATGCAGCATGAAACACACTACCTGCTCCCTTGACTCCATCCCCACCCCTCTCCTTACCTCCCAGCTCCACCTCTTTGCCCCTCTGCTGTCCGACACCATCAATCGCTCCCTTTCATCTGGCACCGTTCCCATCCCCCTAAAAACAGCGACAATCACCCCCATCCTGAAAAAAACCTTCCCTGGACCCATCCCTGCTTTCTAACTACCGGCCCATCTCCAACCTCCTTTTTCTTTCCAAGGTCACTGAAAGAGTCGTTGCTTCCCAGCTTTGCGCATTCCTCTCCTAGCACTCCCTTCACAAGACCCTCCAATTGGGTATCCGTGCTGCTCACAGCACAAAAACTGCTCTGGTCAAGGTGACAAACGACATTTTGTCCATCTGTGACCAGGGCTCCCAGACACAGATCTGCCTCCCCATGCTCGGGTCCTGATCCCTGACTGATCAGTGCCTTGGGATGTGAAAGGCACTTTACAAATGTAAATTTGTTGTTGTCACTTACCTGATGTTTGTTCCTGTCTCTTGCAGCTAGAGGAGCTGAGCTCTTCAATGTATCCTTTACCCAGAATGTTGACCTGGTTCAGTTCAAACCACAAAGCTTTCATCACTGCTCAAAAAACGTGGTCACTCAATCCACGACTGTTTGTGGGACACTACTGTATGCAAATGGCTCCCACATAATATACAGTCAATCCACATTATAATATATTCTGTGAAGCACTTTGAGATGTCTCAACGTTGTGATACGGCGCTATATCAAATGTAAGAATTATTATCTTAGGAATCCTTGTTCTCCAGCGCTCTGAGGCTCTATCCTACGTGAAAGGTGCCATAGAAATGCAAATTGTTGTTGTTGTGCCTTAACCTACACCGTCTCTCAGACAGAAACTGAACCTGACAGAAAATCAAGATGTTCCAAGGGCTCCCACCTCCTAAAAGCTGATGGGAAGTCTGTGTATCAATGAACCAAATACTGATTAACACTGAAAACTGATGGAAAGAAAATGGAGTGTGGTCTCGCATTCTTGTCCCATGTTCTTCTCTGTTGCACTCGACTCAGGTTTCGTCTCCATCCTTTTCCTTTCTCCCTCCCTCCATGCCTCCTCCCCGCTTCCCAAACAGTGACTTGCTGTGAGGTACCTACAAGGTGAGGAAGGGATTAGGCTAGCTCAGTGGTGATGGCTGGGTTTGTCTTTGGGAACAGTCACCTCAGTTGTGAATATTTATTTTCTGGTCAGCTGGGTATCTGACTGTGCGGAAACCTATCTCATCCTGAAAAGCATCCAAAGAAGACCCATATCTGTGTTTGGTTTCTGTTTTTGTGGAGTAGAGAGTAGAGTGCAGAGACCAGGAGGATTAGGGACCACAGTGTATGCATTGGGGGTGACCATCTAAAACCATATGGTTCCCCTTCCTGTTTGTCCTCTTAACCAGCCACTGAAGCAGAAATTGGGAGGGAAGTTGGGAGGAAGGAGAGAGAGAGAGATTAAATTACCCACAAAATGCACAGTCGTGCCACCTTCAGTAAATCTTGCTGATATGGAAGGCGTTATGTCAAATGCAAGGATTATTATAATTAATAATAATAAAAATAACATTTTCTGTATCAATCAGAGTCCTGCAACTTAGTGGTTAGAGCACTTACCTTCCAAGCAAGAGGACCTGGGTTCAATTCCTGGACAGAGTGAAAGGTTGGGTAACTTTCCTTACTCCACACGCCTCTGTTTACCTAGTGGTAAGTAAGAACACAGTTGTTTGTCGATTATTGGATCTCTTCTGGGGATAAACCCTTTTACAAAAAAAAACAAGAATAATAATTTAGTCAATCAATCTACGACTTTGTGGGAGACTGCGCTATGCAATTGACTGCCGCGTTTAGCCCAAAAAATAAACAGTCAATTCACTTTACATTGATGTTCTGTGACGCGCTTGAGATGTCTTGACACGTGATGAGGTGCTTGATCAAATGCAATGATTATTATTTACCCATCCATAAATAAATGTGGCTGGAATATTGACAACATGATGACTTATGTGGAGGTTATGTTGACAACCAGGGTCAAGTTATGAGGAGTTTTTTGCTCCCATCCATTTTCCACCCTGTGCATTCAAAGGAGAGGTTATCGCTCCCCAATTCAGAGAGCGAGAGAGTGAGGGGCGTGGGTGAATATGACATGCCTATTGTGAAATGTGAGTGGAGGGCACTGACCCAGTGTGAATTAACCAACGGTTGATATAGATAATTATACATATACAATCCACGGCTGTTTGTGGACACTGCTGTACACAATTGACTGCCGTGATTTGCCCACGAAATACACTTTACAATATATCCTGTGAAGTGCTTAGAGATGTCAACCACGTGATAAGGCGCCATATCAAATGCAAGGATTATTATTTTTAGATTGAGATGTTCCTCACACTCGCAATGGGTGATGGGAACATTTGCTTGGAACTTGACCATCAAAGCGATGGGGTGTGCGGGGGGGGGGAAGGTCATAGTGTTTTTTGATCTCTTCCCCCGCCCCCCACCACCCTCCTCGACCGATGCTGCTCAGGTTTGGTGACTATTACGTGGCTGACACGGGGAGAGACTAGTGGCTGGTTCCATGGTTTGAGTGTTGAGACCTGCTCACTGCAGCTCTGTACCTCACAGCGCTGTTGGCTTTTGCTCTGTACCTTGTCAGCTCCACTGGGTGTAGTAGCTACAACCAAAACACTACTCAATGATGTCAACACTCAACTGCTCAGTATTCTACACTGCCTTTACCCTCTTAACATTGGCTATTTCTCATGCACAGACAGACACAGTCACACTCAGACAGACAGACAGTCACACTCAGAAGATGACAACAAACTGCATTTATATGGTGTCTTTCATGGCAGGAGGACATCTCAATGCACTGGACAGATAAGGGTTTACACTGAACTGGGGGTTGAAATCAGGAGGGGTGGAGGGCAGCTAGGATGGAGGAGTGAAGATGGCGAAAGGCTCAATCAAAGAGGAAAGTCTTGAGACGGACCTTGAAATGGGCAGGGGATGGTGAAGTGGAAGGGCTCCAGGATGGAGTTTCAGAGGGTGGGGAATATAGAGCAGTGTATGTTAAGCACCTGGAGTGGACAGGTTGATAACATTTTAGTAGGTCGCAGAGTGATACCCTCTGTGAGAGGTGGTTATAAATGCACATTGTAGAAGTAGAGAGGAGCAAGACCATGGATGGCCCTAAAGGTGCGGATGAGGATCTTGAACTCTGTCCTCTGGGGAATGGGGAGCCAGTGGAGCCGGGTGAGGGTGCGGGTGATGGGGTCATGGAGCCTGGTGCGGGAGAGGACATGAGCTGCAGAGTTCTGGATGATCTGCAGCTTGTGGAGGGAAGAGTTGGGAAGGCCGACAAGCAGGGAGTTGGTATAGTCGAGCCGGGTTGTAATGAAGACATGTATGTGCTTTTGGTATCCTGAGCAGAGTCGGGCAATGTTGTGGTGGTGCAGTGGTGAAGGAAGGCAACAACAACAATAAAATTACATATGCATGGCACCTTTCACATCGGGAGGACGTCCCAAGCAGCTGGGAATCAGTGTTTCAGACCCAAGCTGGGGGTTGGGATTGGGGAAGGTGGAGGGCAGGGAGGGAAAGAGAGTGATCAAAGGCACGTTTGAAGAGGAGGGTCTTGAGATCGGTCTTGAAGGAGGTGAGGGTGGGGGCAAGGCAGTGGGACTGCTGGATGGAGTTCCAGAGGGTGGGGGAAGAGAGACTGAATGCGCACCTGCCAATGGTGGAGCGGGCGAGGTAGGGGACATGAAGCAGGTCGGTGCCCGCTGAGTGAAGGGAGCAGGCAGGATGGTAGGGGTATAGGAGGTTGCAGAGGTCGGGAGGAGCAAGGCCACGGGGAGCTTTGAATTTGAGGACGAGGATCTTGAACTCTATCCACTATGTGATGGGAAGCCAGAGGAGTTGGGCAAGTATGAGGGCGATAGGATCATGGAGTCTTGTACCAGAGAGGACACAGATGATCTGCAGCCTATGGAGGGAGGAGTTGGGGAGGTGGAGAAGCAGGGAGTTTGAATTGTCAAGTCTGGATGCTATGAAGATGTGTAGAAGGGTCAAAGTGGCCTGTGGTGTGAGACAATGGCGGTGCCGGGCAATATTGCAGAGGTGGGGGAAGGCAAAGCAGGTCATAGCACAGATGTGGGGTAGGAAGGATAGTTTGAGGGTCAAACAGGACACCAAGGTTCTGGACTGGCTTAGCGAGGTGGAGTGTGCAACCATGGATGGTGATGCTGTCAGCGCCTGAATTGATGGGAACCAATCAGGAGAGCCTCAGTCTTGTTGACGTTCAACTGAAAAAAGTTATCCAGAACTTGATGTCTGACAGACATTCTGTAAGGACAGCAGTGGTCCTGGAGTCGAGGGTGGAGGCAGAGAGCTAGAGATGGGTGTCATCCGCATACATGTGGAAGTTGACCCGATGCTGCGGATGATGTCACCAAGAGGGAGCATGTAGATACTGAAGAGAAGGGGACCAAGGACTGAGCCCTGAGGAATGCCACACGAGACGGTGCAGGGGCTAGAGGAGAAACTGTTTGTGGAAATGTAATGGAGATGGTGTGAGGTAGGATCTGAACCATTCAAGGACAGAACGATAAAGGTTCAGGTGAGAGGCGAGACATTGGAAGAGGATAGAGTGGTCAACAGTATCGAATGCAGCAGAGAGGTCAAGGAGGATGAGATGCTAGAAGAAGCCCTGGTCGCAGATGGACAAAATGTCATTTGTCACTTTGATCAAAGCTGTTTCTGTGCTGTGGGCGTCACACAAACCCAATTGGATGGGTTTCTGAATGAAGTGGTGGGGAGAAGAAGGAGCAAAGCTGGGAAGCAATGACTCATTCCAGAACCTTGGAAAGCAAAGAGAGCAGGGATGGGTCCAGGGAGGATTTTTTTCAGGATAGGAGTGATGATGGCTGTGTCTAAAGGGGTGGGAACGTTGCCAGTGGACAGGGAGAGGCTTATGATGTCTGTGAGAAGACAGGCAAGGAGGTGGAGCTGTAAAATAAGAAGAGAGGTAGAGATGGGGTCGAGGGAGCAGGTGGTTGGTTTCATGTGGGTTATAATGGTGGTGAGAGAGGAGTGGGAGACAAGTTCAAAGGTGTGGAGGAAGGGATGGGTAGGGGCCGAGGTGTGAGGGGGAGATGGGGAGTGGGTAGTAGATGGAAGGGTAGATACAGCTGAACCGATCTCCTCGACTTTGGTTTTGAGCAAGTCCAGCTTTGCCTCACAGTTGGCGTTGGTGGAGATGATGGGTGAGGAGTTGAGAGGGTGGGCGGAGCATCCAGTTTGTGATGGAGAAGAGGAGCCTGGGGTTGTTCTTTGCCTCCAAGAGTGTCTTGGAGTAGAATGACGATTTAGCAGAGGCAAGGCCGGAGTGGTAAGATGTGATAAGGTCCAGCTAGATCTGCTGCTCAAGTTATATTTGAGCCAGGTGCGTTCAGTGGCATTCACTGTGCCTTAAGGGAGCGGAGGCTTTAGTGAGAAGTAGATGGTTCGGGAAGTGAGGGGAACAAGTGCAACAACAACAACAAAATGACATTTATAGAGTGCCTTTCACATCGGGAGGATGTCCCATGGCGCTGGACCCTCACGGGACAGGAAGGGTGGGGTAGGGGTGAGGGAAGACAGAGGTGGGAGGGCAACTGAAGGCATGATTGAAGAGGAGGTTCTTGAGACCGGCCTTGAAGGAGGCAAGGGAGGAAGTGAGACGAAGTTCCAGAGTGTGTGGGCAGAGAGGCTTAAAGCTCGGCCACCGATAGTAGGGCAGGTCGGGTGGGAGACATGGAGTAGGCTGGAGGCCACTGAATGGAGGGAGTGGGCAGGTTGGTTGGGAGTCAGCAGGTCAGAGAGGTAGGAGGGGGCAAGGCCATGGATGGCCTTGAAAATGAGGACGAGGATCTTGAATTAGATCCTCTGAGTGATGGGAAGCCAGTGGAGTCAGGTGAGGGTGGGAGTGATG